CCCATCGGATGCGTAATTGCGATATTTCGTGATACTTCTATTGCGTCGTTATTATCGCAACACTGTGTACTCACTCTTGAGTACGATCTTGAGATGCTGTATTGTATGAAAATAGTATCTAAGGGTCGTAGTCTCAGAGTTGAAAGAAATCTATCAATACGGGCCCTAATATATAATGAAATAAAACAGTTATCGCAATAACGCATCCGATTTTATAGACCGATAATAACGCGCCTGTGGGGGAGGGGGGAGAGGTCTAAAATAAGAACAATGAAAAAATTAGGAAAACATGTGAACATCAGCAGCTAGTGAGTGAAATCGAACATCGAACAATGCTAATGAATTTTTGCAACGCAACGGAGGCTTTCACTAACTGCGCCCGCGCCATGCCATACTCTTCTTTTATTTTTACCGGAGCGATTTCCATTCGCAACTGCTTTCATTCATATGTCATACAAATGTAAATTTAATATTACCTGTGAACTCACAATTGGGGTTATTAGATGCGCTTCTTGCGAATTTCCTTTCAAGATCGCAGGTTTGTCGTGGCATAATTGCACGATTGTGATGTCATGGCAAACAATGTGTAGAAATTGAGTTTTATCGCGGTCTGCATGTTAATATTTGGTCATTTCACAAACCTGAGTACTCAATTATTTCGATAATAATTTAAGATATATGTAAATCGTTGACTGTAAGTCACATAAGTACGTTCATTGAGAGCCCATCATAACGCAACAGCAATGTCTTTGCCTTTAAAAGCGGACGCGAGCTTACAGACATTTGAGAAATAGGTATTTCAAATATCTATTTCTGTCACGCATTGGCAAATACAGTGCGATAGGGACAACAGTAGTTAACGCTGAAATCTGCGTATAAAAATTGCCAATTTCGAGGTTTGGTTCTCGACGATTTCCTCCTCGAAAATTAGATATTATGTAAAATAAATACTAATATAAATAATATATAAATACTTATATAAATATTAATAAATATTAATATGTAATAATGTAGAATAATGAGTAGTTAAACTATGCCTGTATGTTTTGTTTTTTTTTGTAAATGCTTATTAAATCTCCACACTAGTCGTCTTTAGTGGTGATAAAAAAAAAATTACATTTTTCGGGGCTTCTAGTTTCTTTGAAACACAAGTTATCGAAAAATGGAAGACATTTGTTTCAATTTCAATTTAATTTATTTGTTTAATTTTATTCTCAGCGCCATGTAGGCCTACAATTACAAGCATGAAGTACTTGAATGATGGAGGGCCCGGGTTATTGCATTACAGCTGCATGGACACACACACACACACACACACACACACACACACACACACACTTCATAAAGTTATCATGTGACAAATTCTCGAAAACCCTTTTATATGGATATTCAGTGTTTGTCTTTCTTTTTTTTTGTCTTTTTGTAATGTTTTGTCCAATCTTAATTTTATTTTATTATTTATTTTAGTGAATTATATGATATTTATACAATTTTTAAATTAAATTAAATGTAATAATTACTGACATATAATAACGCCGTTAATATCTAATATGTACATAATGAGTAATTGGCCTTAAGATTGTATCTATATTTCATTGTATTAAATTTCACAAAAAAACGCTGTAGAAACTTTGTTAAAGATAAATAAATAAATAGACATAGGAGCATTGAATGAGTAAAATTATATTCTAAGTATGAATAGTTATTTATTATACAAGAGTGGAAAGTTCCTTTTTAACCGCGTGCTCGATTTGGATGACCGAGCAAGCGAAGGATTCTAAAGTTGAATCACGAGCGCAGCGAGTGATTCTAAATTAGAATCCTGAGCGTCAGCGAGGGAAACAAACGAGCACAAGGTGAAAAATCTTTCCACTCGAGTGCAATACGTAACTTTTCATCCCACCTCAGCGAGGAAATGACAAAATGAAAAAGAAAACAATTTATAATGACAAAATATTTTTATTTCAATTAAAACACATTAAGATAATCTATAAATTGAAGAAAATAATAAGAAGTAGAAAATAATTAAGAAATATTAAATGTAACGTTGCTACAGTTACTTATGTTAAGTTTAATATTTTTGTTAGGTAATGTTATGTTGGTGTTTGTGAATTGTGCGCTGTTTTGTGGTAAACTACTCGTATCAGTAATTTTAAATAGTTGTGCCGATTCATTGGATTCTATTGGCGTAAATGTTGGCGAGAGAGGGCTATTGTTTCCAATCTTATGGGGGCTCATTTTAGATGTAGAAGGGCGAGACCAAGAATCTGACAGAGGTTCTTTCAGCGTTATGGCCTCCACGATACTATTACAAATTTTTGATTTACTTTGGATTGAATCCTCTATGTATCCCTCTACAACCGAATTGGACTTCCAGCCTCCATGGCGCTTAAGCGATAGAAGATCAGCCCCTGATTCGGCCAAAAGTGTGGCTGAGGTTCTTCTAAAACAGTGACCGGTGTATAACGGGGGTTCTAAAAGTCCGAGAAAAGTTGCTATTTCTCGTGGAATACTGCCAATTTTATTCTGACCCATAGGTTGTCGGATACACTTTCCGTTGCGATATTGTAGAAAAAATCGTTCAATTGGGGTGTTAGAAGGACGTAAAGCTTGATATTTCTGAACAATGTTTACATATTCCTTGCGAATAACGAAGTTGCGGTCTTTTTTTGTCTTGGTATTTAGTACATTAATTAATAGCAATTCATCAGAATTATGAGAATATTTTGATACGTTATTGACATTAAGTAGTGTAAGTTCATTTGTTCGACATGCTCCGGTTATACCAATAATAAGAACAACCTGTAACAAAAGAAGTATTTATAATCGTAAATAAATTAATCAAATTAAAAATATTGTAAGTACTATGTACAATTTTATCAACAACAAAAAATTACACGTATTGACTTACTTTTGCCGCTAAATATACGGAATCAGGTGCTTCATTAATAAACTTTGCAATTTCAGATGCTGTGAAAACCTTCGATTTTTTTGGTTTATAACCAGATGAGGCTCTTTTTAAAAATGCCACTAATTTATGATAGGTGTCGATATGAACGTCTTTCTTCATCTTAATTGTTAATTTTAGCATTGAATACGTACTCCATAGCGTGCTTGCTTTCTTGGTCTCAGATAATTCTATAAAATATGCCAGCAAAACGTTTTCGGAGAAAGTTTTTGCTCCTTTAGCTAGTCGCCACATGTTAAATATATCGTACTGTTTCAAATACTTCTCTCGTGATTGCTGAGGGAGAAGGCTCATTTGCGCATTATTAACTGTTTCAGTTAACTCAGTTGGCGTTAGATAAACTTCATCGTCGCTAATGTCACTCATTTTAGTTGATTTTTTTGTACAGTTTTTAGGTTATGTTAATTATATTAAGCAATAAAACGTGAAAAACTAGAATGGCGCGAAGCACGCAAATAAAACAAAGAAACCAAGAAGGTTCCAAATTTAAATTTTTTCACAATTTAAAAAGTTCTAATCATAAATTTGGCACCATAGAGGTTACATTAAATAGGTTTAATGACGTTTTGAATTTACAATTATATTGAGTACTCATTATATGTGATGTTCTAAATTCAAATCTACTTTGCCGCTCAAGCGAATAAAATAGAATTTTCCAGCCAGATTTCGAAGCGCAAAATTACACTTTCCGAGGTGGTGGGATGAAAAATCAATTCTTTAGTGATAAAAATCAAGGAGGAATCAGTCGAGAACGTTTGTATGGAAAAAACATTGCCCGCTCTTAACAATCAAATTAACTTCTCTTTAAGTAATAATAATATCAAACAGCGTATGAGTTTCCACTATTAGGTAAGATCATCATATTAATATATTCGTATCGTATATATTACCTACACTCAATTACATTAATTGTAACGAAATAGATAAAAAGTAAGAAAAATGAAGACGTTTGATTTTGACGAGTAAATTAATTATTTACATAAGCAGATATTGTTGATTTTTCCATAGTCATTTCATTAAACACTAGCTCATATTAACTTATGTCCAATACAGCGCCAAGCTTCTTCTCAAAATCTTGTCTATAAAATTTCCATTTTACCACTCATGTAAAATCTTTCTGCTATATGATTTATTATACCTTTTATATTTACCTATCAAATGCAACAAAAATGTGATGAATATTAATTTGTATAGTTACAATAAGCAATTTAAAATCTCTTGAAATGTTTTGTAATATCCACATTAGATATACGGGGTGCAAACTTGAAGAATGTTTCTTCGAATACATTGCGCATTTGCACTAAACTGTTCTGGAAATAGCCGCGGCGTGTGGTCTAAGCTTGCGGAAAAAAAATATAAATTTTCTCCGTTAACTGTCTTGAAAGTTCATAAAACACGTCATGAAAACTTTTCAAAAAGGAATATCACGGAAACCACTTATAAATATTTAATGAAACAAGTTTTGTAATAAATCTGGTATCATTGATTCGTGCGTATAAAACGATACCTATATTGCCATCATTGTCTAAACTTGCTTTAGAAATTTTCGACTTCCATTAAAGTACAAATACAAAAGCCAGACTAAATTTTTTTCCGTTAATTTGGCTTATGCATTGTGCATGGCCCTGACAATGAAGACTCATTGGATATTTGTGTGGATTGCAATTTGTTTTCGATGCCTAACTATGTATAAATATAGGTCGGGAAGCCTATACTTCCATAACATCATAAATGTAGGTAGAATCTATTCCACACGCTAGGATAGCAAGTGTAGCAGATTAACCGACTGTTTTGGTTGGAAAGAGGAAAGGACATGGGCAAAACATTACATTAACAAAAAATATAGCACTACGGCTCCGCGAGTTAAGGGACTGGGTCGGCAACAGCGCAAGTTATATTTTTACCGCTTACCATCAGGCGGGTCATATGCGTGTTTGCCACCCTTTTAACATAAAAAAAAATACAAATTTCTTACTTGCCACCTTGCCACTCTGCAAGAGATGTCTGTACGGTGGTTCTCTTCTTTTTCCAGGTGTTGCTATCAGAGATGCGTCAGGGGCGGGAGTGGCGTGATGCATGCAGCGCGGGATAGCATGGCTGCCGCGCTGCTGCTCCTGCTGGCAACGGCCACCGGCTCACGGCTTGGAGATCTGGCACGTCGGGATACGGGCGATGTGTTCACTCTACTGGGTAAGTGAAAACTGCTCTACTCTGCTCACAAAGGCAGCGACGTACGATTTAAGACGGATTTCAACATCACACTGATCTTCGACGCGTAGCTAGTAAGCTGGTGAGGGGTTATTCCCTCCGTTTTCCTGGAGATGGGTCAGCGGCGCGGCGGGAGTGGCGTGATGCATGCAGCGCGGGGAAGCATGGTTGCTGCTCCTACTGGCACGCCGCTTGTAGATCTGACACGTCGGGACACGGGCGATGTGTCCACTTTACTGGGTAAGTGATAACTGCTGGGCTCTGCTCGTGAAGCAATGGCTTTTTATGAAATCTGGCTTGCACCCCTCCCGCTCCCCCATAGGTATTATTAAATCTTATGAAAATAGGTCAAAATCGTTTGCTTTTATTTGGCTCTTACCGCCACTCGTAGCTCTTGCAACCGCACCTCGCAGCCTGCCACCCCGGATCATGGTCCTCTTGTCTCTTAGGTAAATACGACATCACATGGGTCATCGACAAATTGGTGAGGTGTCATTCCCTCCGTTTTTATAGGAGAGGGTATCGATATGAGTCAATGGTGGGAATGCTACTACTTCGAGACACAGCTACCAGCTAGCGGCTGGGACACTTGGTGGGTATGGCAATGTGTTTACTCTTCTGGGTTAGTAAAAGCTTAAATCTTTATCTAGTAAGTTTTGGACAGTATCTTTATACAGTTGTACTCATAAAAAGCCTCAAATTTTCTCAATAATTGGATAAAATTGTTTATTCTATTTATTTGTATATTTGGTAAGGCAAAGAGTGCGGACCAGCTCAATGCGCAGAGCACGGCGCAGGCGAGACATCCGAAGCTGTCGACGGATGCGCGTGCGCGTGTCCACAGCGCGCACCTCTCTTCAGAGAGGACAGGGAACTCTGCGTCGACGATTTGCCAGGTAAGTAAGATTAAATCTTATATAATCTGAAGGTATGAAAAGGGTGACAAACAATCGTATGGCCCACCTGATGGTAAGCGGTCACCACAGCGAATATTCAATTGCGATACAGAAAATATCACTCGCACTATGCCTTACCTGACCCAATCCCTATCCCGTGTTTGATCTAAACTTTTTTTTATATAACTCGCTAGCAAATAATGAATTAAAAACTGAATAGTAAGACCAAATACGAAAGAAATAAAAAAGTTAACAAAATAAATAAAACTTGGAAAAGTAAAAATACAAGGGAAGTACTTAGGTAAAAAAGAGAGAAAAGTAATTGAAGCCTCGAATCAGAAACCATATACAAATCTTTGTACTTGCTGCTAAGAGTGATCTTAGTAATCTGACCATAAGACCAGCGAAGATCTTTTAATTGCTGAAAAAGGTAGGGGGGAAAATAGTAAGTTTTAATACATCAAAACACAACATTGCCAGTACCCATAGCACGAATAAATATCGAATTCAAATCGTTTGCGAGTACGAAATGACATTATCAAATGTATACTGATTTTTAGTTCTCGTTACGTACGTTATGGCCCTGCTGTTCAAGTTTTCATACAAAATTTCACATTGACATTTCGCACTCGCAAACTACTCGAATTCAATATTGATTCGTGCTAGGGGTACAGAACACCGCGAACTTACAGCATTTTAAATGTTTACCAGAACCATTTGTCTACTTCGCGTTTTATTTAAATAGTTTAACCTAAAACATAGAACCGATCTCGGAACACCTTTGAGTGAGCAACCAATAATTACAGTGGAGAGACCCGTTACGTTTCCTCATAATTCTATTCCCTAGTTGTTACAGATACTAAGCGAAATTGCTCCACTTGTTTGCTACCAGGTAAAAACGAGAGTAACTGTTCACTCCAACCACATTAGTTATAATTACATACTACAATGTTAGCATATTACGAAATAGACGCGTTGTTATCTTATAGGCGGCCTACCTATAATAGGTACAATAAGATAAGACAATTTCTTTTTTTTTTATTAGTCTCACAAAACTGAATTATAATGAACATACAAACAAATATACATATAAAAGTGTTTAACTACCTTGAAACCTACTCGAAGTAAGCACATCATGATGTAGTATGCGTAGTGACAAAATTAAAGACCTAACATTTTACTATTCAGAAAAAAATCTGATTCCGAAAGTACATCAAAGCTGTGTTATACTTATTCAATATATGCTTATACCTACGGCTTTTCCAAGAAAAGATCCCTAAGGACCTTTATCTCTGAGGCCTTAGAACCAGGAATGTTGCGAATATTCGCATCCGCATCCGCATATGCGGAACATCCTCATCGATTTATACATCCGTATCCGCAAAAATCGATGCGGAGCTGCTGCGGATGCGTATGTGTAACTGGTCGCGACAAAAAAGGGGCAGGCCCGGCGAGTGGTGCGTGATACCTAATTTTGTTAAACGGTGACGCGCCTATCTATTATTTGTTGTTTTGTCGTAAATATTCAATCATAAGTTTATTACTTCTTTATTGTGCTTTTTGTTAAAAATGCCACCACGCATAGTAAAAATTTAGACCTATTTCAATCTTGTTGAAAATGACCGGGATAAATCTCAGTGTAAAATATACTTTGTTTGAAAACGCGAATAACGAAAAGCAGCTACAGAAAACAAAAAATAATAAATGAGTAATAGCAATTCACGCACTACTTTATTGTCTTTATTATTAAATACAGAAAGGATAAATATTACTGTCTTTTTTTTACCCTAACCACACTTAAGTTTTTTGTACGGATCTGTACAAAAAACTTAAGTGTGGTTAGGGTAAAAAAAAAATCCTGAAAAAAAAGATGTGAGAAAATCTGCATCCGCAACATCCCTGCTTAGAACCATAGAAGAGGTCAAAATAATCTCTGATGGAGTTATACATAGAAAAACACGATAAAGCGGAGATCGATGACCGAGTCTTGTCCTACACGTACCTTCATTTAAAAGATATTAGAAAGGTTCACACCCCAATGAGAGAATTGGTTTAACTTTTGAAACTTTTTGCATACCAAAATACAAGAATAGCTGCGGCTTTGTATCTATTAATTGATATTATTGTAGCTGCTCTTTTCGTTCGTTTGGTAATTAACTAACAATAGGTTATTGTCTTAAACAAGTTTTTTATGTTGCTACTGTACGCCGTTATTGTAACATCTTAAATAAATTTATTGGATAAATTAACTGTTAACTGCCAAACAGCTGATTTGCAAAACTAGGTTTTTTTATATATATTTTATAGTATAACAATTTCTTACTGATGTATCGGAGTAAGAGTAAACGCTGAGATAAATAATTGTTGCCTCTCTGAGGTCGACCGAAGGGAGACCAATCATTTATCTAAGAGTAAACGGTTGCAAGAGGATATAAAATTACACGTTCAAGTGTAAATGCTAAATCAAACAATTCAGATATAAGAGCTTTTAAATTTTCAATAATTTCATTGTGCGGATCATCGATTTACCGATATCAACTTCAAAATTATGAATATTTTTTAAGGATAAGTTCGTAAGGGAACGAATCTATTTCAGACATGGCAGTTCGAAAAGTTGTTAATAATTATCTGCAACATCACCAAATGACGAATCATAAGCGTAACACGTGTCTCCACTCCACGACTAAAGAAAGTAAGAATGCAAACACGTCTTCAGTATCTCAATTAGGAACTACTAATACAATGTTTTACATAATTAACATAAAAACGTATCGTAAACGGTGACCAACCGTTTCTGTAAACTTATGCAAAGATTACTAGACAATTAAGTAGATAAATTAACTTAAGTATACACTTAGTAAAAGTATAAAACACAATTAACTTTAGTTTAATTTAAAACGAAAAAATCCGTTACTTTAGGCATATTTACTTGCTTCGAGATATCTTTTCACAACGTCTACTAAACAATGCCCTTTATATCTTTTCCGTCTTCTACAATCTTAGCATAGCTTGACCGCTTCCTAGATCATTAACTAAAGGATCGTCTAGCTAAAAGTATTTGCATAACAGCCTTTGATACTTTCACACTAAATGCGCGCGATGAAGTTGAAACAGCGGATGTATTCAGATTTTCTTGAGTTTATTTGACGTTACCTAAAGTAGTAATTTTGCGTCTACAGAATGCGATAAAGAATGTCTGAACTGACATTCGACATGTGCCACATTTCGCTATAACATTCTAAAATGCCACGTCCTAAGAGAAATCAACCCATCTTAAGTACACTGCATCCTTTTTGTCATGTTTTTGCATTTTTTTGGTATTGACCAGCAATCCTGACAAATGAGCAAAGATGCCCAGATAATCTCATGTAGCATTTTTCATCATTTCGGTATCGCTTATAGGGTCACATTCGAGCCGTTAGTAATATATTGGATAATACGAAATAAGCTTTAATTTACACCACGGCGTTCAGAATTAAATGTTTAAGGGTATTAATGTTAATTCCCTTACAAATGTACCGGTCTGGATGTAATATGTTACCAAGATTCGAACGGACCGTAACGAATATGACAAATATTTGCGTTATAATTATAAGAAAAAAATCATGTTTCACCGTAGCATGTTGTTTATATTGATAACATTGAAGAGGTTTAAAATTCGGAATACATACCTTTTTAAATAAAAAAAAAAACTATTAAGCATTAAAACCTCCTATTCAAGTCTAGAAAAGGCAATGTTAAAGGTCAACTAACGTTAGGTTTCTAGTGAATAAAGATATCAAATAAATAACGAAGAAAACGAATTACTGATACAAGTTAGTTAAAATTCCAAACAAAAAAGCGAAAACTAACAGCTTTTACCTGTATGGATTAGCGATTTTGGGAAACACAAAATGGGTAGATATAAAAGTTGAATGTATTACTTTTTTGGAGATTCCAATTCCCTCAACTCCAAAAATTAAGAACTTCGCAACAAAGTTTCTTCCGTTATTTCATTTCTAATCCTATAGGGATTGTTTGAATTTAAAACAAAATGCATAAAAACTTGGCTTGGCTTCAAAACTTACGAAATGTCATCCAAAATTTATCCACTTTTTTTACTTCTCTAGGTGCTCCCTCGCCGCGCCGGGAGTATTTGTCTTTAATGTTACGATTCGAACTTAACATCAGTGATGGAGGAGAACCGAGCATTACAGCGGGCAACCTATAATGATACCATCTTAGTTAAAATAATGTAGATTTAATATAAGGATACAATCTGTAATATTATAAAACTTGTAACATTACTTTTCAACAGTATCATGTCACAGACGAAAAACGAGTTTACGAAGTATACATACAGAACCATATTAAATAACATTGGGTATACAAGCGAAAGATCGTCAGACAGGGAGGCAGTATTGTGGTGTTATGCTCTAAATTGAAACTAAAACGTTACATTACAGGCGAATACTCTTTATTCCGGGAGGCAGTATTGTAACGTAATGCTCGAAATTGATTTTAAAATGTAAAATTACAGACGAATGCTCTCGGTGAAGGAGCACTTTTAAGAGATATTTTTACAAAAATCCCCTCTTAGTGAGCACTGCATTGCAATTTAAATAACTTTTAAATCAACCCGGCAATATAAGGACCCCATTAAAAATGTAATCTTTTTTTTTTCAGAGTGTTCCTTAGCTAGTTTCGGGACTGGATCTGGTCTGCAGAGGATACCATTCGTCTACTTGCCGTTGAAAGGCCAGATCATACACCCCTCTAAAGAAATAACCTTTCCAGGTAAACAAAGTACTTTACTTAATCTCCGTAGTCCATGCTCACACATTTTTAGTAACATTATAGTAAAAGTAATGAAAACATTGCTTACTTATACATAAATAAAACGAGTTATTCATTACTTTTTTAAAGAAACTAGTATTATCAAAATATTGATTACGCATCTGGATCTGAGGACAGTATTGAGCAAAAATTAATCATAACCTGTGGGCCAATCGCCTAACCAGATTGCTTTGGAAAACGCTATCGCTTACGATTTCATTTTGTTATTTCTAACCGCCGAAATACCTCACGCTCATTTTCTTTAATATTATTATTACCAATGCAAAAGAAAAAAAAAGAGCGCGAGGCATTTGAAAACCTCAGGGGGCTAGAAATAACAAAATGAAATCGTAAGCGATAGCGTTTTCCAAAGCAATCCAGTTAGGCGATTGGCCCCCTGTTTCATAATTGCAGACCGAGTACGCGCTAAGTACTTGGTCATGTGGTGTCTCAATAATTATAATTCCTCACATTAATAACAATTCTGTAATAGATACATATTAATCTACTGCCGAGCAAGACATACAGGCATTTATCTAGCTCGGCGAGAGATCAATATGTAATTATGTTGAAATTATGTTAGTACCTACTAATCTAATTTACTGACTACTGTTGTTTACAGTACAAACTACTGTTTAACATTATAAGTTAAATTGTAAACCAGCAGTTACTTGATAAAAATATATTATTTTTATTACTTACTTGAGGCCTTGACGGCGCTCTTAACCTGGTGATTAGTGATGCCAACTGCGAATCCGGCAACTCCAGGTTCTAACTTGGAGGGAGCAAAGTTTGTGTGATGGACAAGTGCATTTTCTTACCTGGCATGGATAATTATGTGTTCAAATATGTCTATTCGGTACACACAAGCTTAGCTTAGTTTGGGGCTAGACGCTAGATGATCTGTTTTTTTTTACCTTTAAGATGTCAAAACTCCAATCTGTGCGGTATCCGGTGCCCAGTTTCTTACACGGAAAGGTTTCCTCGACCTTCGGAACACGCTCGATGCTGACGTGCCATTCAACCTGTTCAGAGATGAGGGCAGAACTTTTCTTCAGGTATTTCTACTTATTTGCTTATAAATGTAGCTAATTAAGACGTAAATATTACTGCTTTCATGTAGCCACCGTGGCATGTTACAAAACATCATGATAAAGAAATATCATTATCATGATTACTATGAATTTCTTCACTGCTAAGGCACAGACCTATCCTTAGGGTGGATTAGGGACAATTTACGGATTGTGGAGTTCTAACGACTGCACATGCAGCCAGGACAAACGGCTTACCGTGGTTTCCGAAATTTTTTTACTACCCGTCCAATGGCTGGCCATAGCGAAAGTTGCTGAACTTCCACTTTCGCAGACCGAACGCGCTTACCACTAGCGCCCACGAGTTCCTGATATTCTCTGTGCTTTTATCAGCAGACAACAACACGGACTAGGCACGGTTGGGGGTTATGGCCCTTTCTCCCTATGCCATCCATAGGAAAGTCCTGTAAACCAACATTAAAATGCTGATGTTTTTTATTGTTGTTGAACAGTGGAGTGGTGAAGACGATGTCCGCACGCGAATGTCAGGGCGCGTCATGGTGGTCCGTCTGCTGTGTCGTGACGTGTCCGCTGCTCCCACTTCGCCCCTAGATCTGCGGGGGGTATTCACGCCCTGTGTGGCGTTCAGAGTGCAAGGCACGCCGCCGAGACAATCTTCCAGTACGTATCATGCAGCTTTCAACAGTGGAGCGGTGAGAACCTCGCTCCTAGATCTGCGGGGTCGTTCACGCCCTATGTGGCGGTCAGAATGCAAGGCGCGCCGCCGAGTAAATCTCCAGTACTCATCATGCAGCTCTCAACAGTTGAGGATATTTTCTAAATTTCGTCTTCCCGTTAGCCTTTTTAATTTAATTACCTTAGCATAATACACAAAATTGTAGTTTTGGTAAATTGTGGGGATATCCACCAAGGTGAACGGCGGCAGTGTCAGTTACGTAGGTATTTTGTGTAAGTTCCTTTAAGTTTAGATCAACACGGACTTGGCCAGGCAAAAGCATAGCCACAATGCGGCATTTCCCTCTGTCAAATTACACTCCCTGTTCAATTATAATCTTTCAACTATCAGAACTTCAGAGTTTCAAAATACCCAACCAATTAACCAACCACAGCCTATTTTCAAATACACCAATAATTCAATATTTTCAGATGTAACAGAAGTCCAGTTCGCATCTAACGCTCAAACTTTGGAAGCATCAAACACGTCAGGACTTTCAGTGACAGAATACGTCGCCATTGGCTTAAGTTCTCTGCTTCTCGGACTCATCTACGTTGCATCAGTTTTCCTTTATCTACACATACGTAAACGTAGAAAAGCAGGTTCAGACGAAGACAGTAGTAGCACGAAAAGAATTAAAGGTTTGAAGAAAAAGGACGGTTCTATTATAACCGAGAGAGACATAGTACGGGTGACCAATGAACGAGTACAGCCACTTACGAATGTCATCGGCCAAGATGATGGTCTCGTTAAGAAGAATCCGCTTTTGAACATGACTCGGCAATACCATGAAAGCAAGAGTTTTCCTGTTAGCGATTCTGGCAGTAACGTATCTGATTCCGAGGATTTTGCCGAGAGCAGTGCCCGAAGCGACGATACAAACTCATACAATGTAAGGCAACCCATTACATTCAAATTAAGAATTTCCATGAATTTAAATGAATATTACATCAATAGTTTCGAAGTTACGTCGAATTCAAACATCATTAACAGACGGGTGGACAGAAAGTATATTAATCGCATACCTTGTTCCTTCGGGGTTTTTAAAATAAATTAATGTAGGTGTATTTGTTTCTTAAGTTCTCACGCACATCACTTATTAAATAATACTAGTTTTAACATAAGAAGGAGATAGAAAGCCTCTCTGAGTTTTTTTTCGCCGGTTCTCCTCAGAAAGGTCTCCCAATTTTAGAACCGGTGGTATTTTACGGTAGTTAGGGTCAAATAAATAAACTCAAAATTACAAAAAAGAAATTTAAATAAAGTACTTTATTAACTAATAAATTCATGCAGACAATAAAAATTTTAAAATCTGCCAAATAACCGAACGCTCAATAAAAGTCTTTCGAAGGTAGCTCGACAAAATTAAATAAAAAATCAGTATTCTGACGATGCAGACCTGAAAAGGCTGCGAAACGTCATTAAATAAATAAAGTTTCGTGCATTAACCCGTTAATACTAGTACTTTATTTAAAGTAGGTGTTTAATGATAAACGTTTGATTACAGAACCATACAACATCTGCCGTTGTACACCTCCACCGTAGCGAACTGAAACTTCAAGACGGAACAGAACTCTCTCACCGCGACGAATCTGGAATCGAACGGTTGCCCGATGAACACGTATCGATTGTTGAAACAACCGACGATCGCGAAATAGCACGCCCAGTCGGCACCACAAGACGCAAGCTTTACTTCAACCCAGCATACTTCGAACCACAACTAATGGCGGTACGTATTAAATTTTCATTCTGTTCATTGAATTTGTACAATAGTATCTATGATATTAATCTGGCATTTTTTTGTCAATTTCAGGAACCTCCTCCAGCAGCTTTAGAATTTCTAGTAAAAATAAGAGAAGTCATTTCAATCGCAAAGCACAAGATGGCTGCTAAGCGTTTCCATCCAGTTCTGAATGAAATACCTGAAGAAGAAACTTACCCATCCACCCCAAATAGTATAGACATTTATCAGGGACTTGGAAGTCAGAGAAGCGGAAGTATCGTCAGCCTGAAAAGGGAGAATAACAGAAAAAAGAGTGTCGCTTGTGTAGGGTGTCCAGGCTGTAAGTCTGATAACGACAAAGATGTACTAAACTATATGAAATTTAACATGAAGGCATGTTCTAACTGTCAACATCATAAAGGCGATAAACAAAGCAGTATAAGGCAGTGGTTAGAAAATATACCTATTGGAAAGCATCAACCTTTCAACGGCGAATTCTTGCAAAACCCCGACTATATCAAAGAAAATAGAAACAAATTAAGGAAACAAAACAGTTTTACTGCTTCAAACTGCATGTACAGTCGAGAACACTTACCTAGATGTAAAAAGTCATCAAACATGTCCGTCCGATCAGAACCACCTTTACGTGGTTACAATTTACCTCTTCCAGAGTTTGAAAATGCTAATTGCGTTCATAGCAACTATACTAACTTTCACTGCCAAACTGTTTCACGAGTTGATGATATTACACCAATTGGGCTTAGCGAGTACCGTTCAGGCATTCTAAGAAATTCAATTAATAACCAACATAGAATAATGCCAAATCAAAATGGATTACCTGATATGGTGAATGATACTATTACCCTGGATCACCATGCAATATCATACAACCAAAGTAGTTCAGATGAAGAGAGATACAATAGGTCTGCGGAACACCCTAATGTATATACCAGAAATAATTCAGCCAGTATTTCAGGTAACGAATATGAAACTGATAGTTTAGAAAGAAATTGCAGCCAAAAAAGACTATCAACGCCCACCGAATTTCCTGAAATACCTTCTTCTCAAGCTAGCCCAAGTTTGAGTAATGCACTACCCTTAGAAGAAGAGCTCACTATGCGGAATGCAGTGTATAAAACGCATTCGAGTAGCAACAGTAACACTCCATCACCGCAAAAAGACATTATTATAGACGAAAATTATTACGAAACCATTGGAAAACAATACAGTGTCATTAAAAAAGAAACAAGTGACACAATAAATACAAAAACAGACTACAGTCTAGTGAGTGAGGTCTATGTTAACAATAACTATAATTTCGGCAGTACGCCTACTTCGCCGAGTGGTTCGGAGTGTTCATTTGGTAGTAGAAAATTGATTACTAATGGCAATAATACTGAAGAAAAACCAGGATGTTTGACAATAGAAGTAAAAGACTCTCCTGAAAATTATATTAAAATACATGAATCTGATGGTTTTGAACCTGATACGTTAGACAGAAAACAACCCAAACATAAAGAAACAATAGAACAGGTCCAGTTCAGTAGGAAGGATTTTATTAAATCTATAGATAGCGATGAAAGTCAGCCCAATCAAAAAATTCAATTAAGAAGCAGTGGCACTTTTACAAAAACTAATAACAAAGTGGAATACACAGCAAAATTTAACAGTTTGAGAAACGAATATGAACAACGAAAAAATTGTTGTGATAGACCCAAATTAATGTCGTCTACTTTTCAAGAAAGTAAAAACACACAAATCGCTTCTGAAATAACATGGGAAAATGACCCTGCGGAGTGGAACAGTGAAGAAGGGCGAATATTAACATTGGAGCTGCGGCATTCAAAGAGACAGCGACAATCAACACCGCCTACTATCAAACAGTTAAAAAGTTTAGCAAGACCCGACATTTTACCGCCACTACCTCCAACAGAGGACAATCCGATATACGAACAACCTATAGTTCCACCCCGAAAAGTTGAAATAGATAAAATGCCCATATCATCTCATCCAAAAAACTTGAATGGCAGAAGCCTCAGTCCGAGGACATTGCACCAGTCTTCAGTAATTGAATCCACTATGTGTAATAATCCAATCTTTTGTGAATCAAAATTTGCACCAACTTGTGGTCCATTGAGAGCTTCTGGCCTGTCTCAGTCCTCGGAATATGATAATGACGAATCCGTACGACAATCATTCAGATCTGGAGATTTTTGTAGAAACTACAATAGAAAACCAGCAAGATCGAATGTTAACTCAAACACTTTTATCAAAGGTACCAAAGATGAGAGCCATGGTAAATCACGATTTAGAAGAAAGAAGGGTGCAAACATTGAAGATTCCGGTTACTTGAGCAGTGACTCGACGAGTTCTAGACAAGTTCAAAGAAGGTTAGTGATTCCTAAAATTGTAAGTTGTAGTGAAAGTGATGACACTGAAAATGAAGCTAGAAGTGAATCTGGTGCTGAAAGTATAGAGACACATTCAGTTTACTTTGGCAGTTTTAGAAATGGACAAGTAAATGTAGATAGCTGCTGTGTTAGTGCTTGCGTAGACACAAAAAGTGTTAGAAATAGTATTAGAAAAATAAAACATTCTAACAACAACGAATTCTTATAGCGGTTATGTTTAAATAATATTCAAAGAACTGTGCAATATTTTTACTTGTGTGCAATAAAATGTGCAATAGATTTTTAAGTACCCTGTATGTTAAGAAATATTTATTTGTAGATTATTTAAAAACAATGCCTTTACATTAAGTTGTCTATTAATAAATATACAAGAATAAGTGGCCGGTTGTGCAATGCAATAATAATAGATTAGGTAATGATACAATAAAACTGATTATTCAATTAATATAAGAATAATATAAGATATATTTTATGTAAAATAATAAATTGTTGATATTGAACTTATTATGTTAATTACTGTCAAAGACAGACTAGACTGTAATAAATTAAATTATTTTAAATAGTCAAGACAACAGAAAATACAAAGAGAACTTTGAAAAAAAAATTTGCTAGTGGTTGTAGTTAAATGTTATGCTAATTTTGCTCATACATTCCTCTGCACTACACATCCATATTTATTTATTCATATTATTAAATATTTTTGATTTGCAATAGAATTCAATGAATACAAAATTAATACACTCGGCATCAAAAACATCACACCTCCGCGAAAATAACTTTCAAGCATTATGTTAACCCTCAACACACACATTTACACCGACCAATATTGGTGTCATTTAAAAGCCCATTAAACAAACTCAATAAAACAATTCAATTAGTTTTAAGAACCTTTTTGAACACCTTTGCCCGGATGACGGCTTCCATACGCTCCCTAAAATCTATGTTACCAATTTTAGGCGCTCTTTTTGTGGGATACTGGACCTGGAGTCGTGGGAGCGGGATCACGAGACCGAAACTTGCGTTTCAAATGGTCCCGGAGGTGCTCTATCGGCTTCAGGTCTGGACTTCTCGCTGGTCACTGCTGCATTACATCCCAACCTCTTGAAGGTAGTCGCGCACAATTAATGCAATGTGAGCGCGAGCGTTATCGTGCATTAATGTGCACTGGTATAAGGAACCACATGTTCTTCCAAGATCCCTGTGACCTACCTTGCCCGCGAGCACCTCCAGTCCGGGAGACGCTTACGAGATCGGTTTTGCCGTCGGCCGACATGCCGCCCCAAAATATACAGGAACCGCCCCCGTATTCCACCGTCTCCTGGATGCAGGTTTGGGCGAAACATTCCCCCTGTCTTCTGTACACTCTTCTGCGTCTATCGTTACAGAAAAGACACACTCTCGTCTCGTCTGAGAAAAGAACAACTCTCCATTGGTCAAGGGTCCAATTGACGTCGCGAGCAAACTGCAAGCGGGCTCGCCGATGCTCTGCGGTCAATTTTGAACCCACAGCAGCTCTATGAGCCACTATCTTCTTCTCCCTCAGTCTTCGCTTAATCGTAGAAATGCTCACGATTGTTCTGCGAGCTGCCTGGAGTTGCTGTTGCAACTCAACAGCATTAGAGAACCGATTTCTTTGATATGTCGATACGATGAATCGGTCGTCTCTCTCCGAGGTGCAGCAAATAGCGAATAACACCAATTGAGCCTGTATAAACCCTTTTAATACCCACCAAAGTTAGCGCAACTAGTGACCTTTCTGAATAGCAAAATTGGCATTCTTTTTTAAAGTCACATTTATGGTATCAACCCTTTTTTTATTAAATAAAATGGGTTTGTTTAAAGTTTATTTAATGAGCCTTCAAATGACATGATTTGAATGATTTATTTTATACTGTCAGGATTAATTTTAAAGAGTGGTCTTCCTTTTTAAAGCTAACAGTTGAATAGTACCTATATTTAAGTCAATAAAATTGACAATACGTATTTACTTCTTTAGGTTTAAACATTTTAAGTAATAATATTAGTATAATTGTAAATATATAAAGAGAGTCGGGCAGCAAATTTGGGCTTCCTAGTACCTGACACTACAGCGCAGCAGGGAGATTTGAGGGCTTGTCTTACTGAAAATCTGGTAGACGCAACATTCTTTACTTATTATTTTCCATGTCATATCTACTAAAGTCCGATATACTATTTAAACGATTTAACTCCGTGCTTGCCTTTGGGCATGGACGACCTACAGCCAAACAAAATAAAGTTACGTTTTCCGTGTGAACCCAATCATAAGAGTGCGCGGATATTTTTTATTGTTTATAATTGTTAATCGTTTTTCATCTTGATAGCTGGTATGATCAATGTGCGTAGGAAGATAGAAAAGAGTATTAAGCTATTTCAAAGTGTACGCGGTTCAGTAAGATAGAAGAACTTAAAGAAAATGATCACCTCCCTGACTGAGCGCGCTTTTGGTTATGGTTTTGGCATTGGTTGGAAACAAACAATCACAGTAACATATTGTTAAAAGTAAACATTTCAAAAAATATACCTTTTTATTTCTTCTACTGTTTTCATTTGTTTGTTATATAATTTAAGTTTTATATATATTATAAAAAACAGCATAATTCCAGGTGATATCCAAGTTGCCCTTGCATGAATGATTATGAATTATTCATAAAGAATGCATATTTTATTTATGTAACCACAAAACAAAAATGCTATTTGACAGATATGTACAGTTAGCAACACATTAAGTTGCCACAAACTGTCAATATTCACAGTAGATTTTGAATGTTATACCAAGCAGCATAAAATTCAAAGTCAGTTATAGAAATTAGGCAGTTTAGGACAACTTATGCTGTACATATTTTCACGCCATGTATCCCAAACTTACATCATTGTATCTTTTTTTTTAAACACAAAATCTGCTCTTAATAACAGTCAGTTAAAATAAGGATTGTTTGTTGCCAACAGTCATGGGTGTTTTTGCGGTGTTGGGACCAACAATTTAGTAAATACTTACTTAATTATTATCAAGATGTAGTTAATTTAGGTAATAGCTGACAGCAATGGTGCTAAAATATCACGAAAATGGAAAACCGGGTATTTATTATTAGCCTCGTGAAGTTTTGTCTCACTTGATTTAAAGAAATATATTTATAAATGTAGATGTAACTAATTAATAAGTTTAAAATATTTTATTAGGAAAAGAAAATAAATGCTCAATATCAAACAAAAATATAATTATTATTTAAAATGCAATTTTTAGTTTAGAAACATACAAGCGACACAGACAAGGCCAGTAGGCGAGTAACAATATGAAGCATTCCCTTCTGTCAAAGTAAATGCCCAATTGGTCGTATGCATGTCATATAGTACACAAAAATATTAAGAGGTGTGCAATATTTGGCAGTGAATTATTATTTCATGATTTATGTGTTAGTGTCGTAATTACACTTTTGTTTTTTGTATGCATGCAGAAGGGCACTTGTGTGCTGCACATTCCATCCTGCAAAAATCGGAACAATTTAAATAGTAACTTTGCTAAGACCGCTCCTTTATTGGTTGGGTCCGTGTTGCACTATGTTTAGAAACGAACCTTTTTACAGCCAGTATTCATAGAATATTATGGCAATTTATATAGTAGGTATAGGTAGTAAAAATATACTTTGTAATAATATGTAAATTATTTTTGTATGTTAAATTTTAGACAATGATCTTATTGTTATACTTTTTTAAAGATAAATGTTGCTTGTAATTTAATTGCACATTATTTATTAATTTAAAATACAATTTAGTCCCAGAAATCGTTGTATATTAGGTATTTAATTATTTGAAATAAAGACTTTGATATGAAAAAAATATTTTTATTTTAAAACATTACAAAAGTTACGATTTTATTTTATTATCTATTTATCACAGTCTTCATGCATTATAAATAAACAGGTACTTTTAACTTCAACAAATTATTAAACATATGAAATTTTAGACTCCAAAAGGTTTTTGTTAACACTCATCACATAATTATATTCTGAGATTATTATATTACAAAAGTTACTTTGTTGAAAACATCACTTACCTGACTTAACAAATAAAGAACTTTTCTTATCCTCATTCTAAATTAGTTAAACTTTTAATTCCTTTAGAAGCTTCATTTAGCATACTTTGCCTAAATTCATTGTAGACAGTCAACCCTGGTGAAAACAGATCAATCACAGTGCCAATCTTATCATTTGTCTCTGCATCTTTACTACTACTCATCTTCATCATACAAGTATCGAGATATTCAAGTAATATGTTGCTTTGGTTGACAATTGCCGATCCATAAACTTCATAGTTTAATTTTGATGGCTCCATTTCCAGAGGTTCATTGTATTGCAACAAATCATTCTTCTTTGCTGTAATTCTTTGATGTTTTGCAGTCATTACTATTTGATGTGGTAATATATTATGTACATAGTACATTAGTGTGGTGACTTGAGATGGTGATCTGAAAAGAAATATACATAGCATGACTATATTAGAGATGGCTTGATTTCTTTTACTTATAATTAGAAATTGCCATTGTTTAAAATCTAACATAAAAAGATATCAAGAGCAACAAATATGAAGAAGATAACAAGCTTCTCCGTTAGAGCAATATGAAATTTCTCCCACTAGGTTAGTAACAATGTTACCAATATTAATTATTTTTCTTTTAATTCATATGTGGCATGTTTTAAGTTAGCAAAAATGAGTTCTGTGGACCTCTGTTAAATATTGTGAAAGCAGAAAGCGACCATTGGTCATTTTTGAAATCAAACAAAAATAACTTTGGTTCATAGAGCAAATTTTTGCTTGCTTCAAAAATGCCTGCTCATCGCTTTCTGCTTAGCAAAGCACATTCTTAAAATACAAATATATAATACAAAATCATACAGAAACTAAACACTATACCTGGTGTAAACTGACACATTGTATATATTTCCATTTGCATCATCTTTTTGAAATACAAGCATAACACCATTCAAGACATGGTAAGGTGAGTTTCTTTGAACTATAATGTTGTTTGTGCTTTGAACAAATTCCATATGAAGATGCATACAAAATAATTCTGCTATATCCATCATTGGATCATCATCTTTTCTTATGTGTCTAAACACCATGTCAGTTCTGGATGTTGATGCCAATATAGCTAAACATGACATTTCATCTGTAATTTTAAAATTACAAATTATAATTGATTAATTAAATTACAGAAATAATTCTAGGGTCTAATAAATTATTAAGTAATATTTTATAAACAAATAAGTTAATAATAATAATAGTTATACAAGTTAACAATATAACTAGAAAAAATTACACGGGGACCAGGCAGTAGACGGGACTCGAACGAGCTAGCAAAAGGTGCGGATGCTTAAAAAAAATATATAACTTCTATTGATATTTTTACTCAGGTTTATTTAAACTGTTTATGAAAATAAGACTGCTACTTAAATAACATTTACTTTTTTCAATGATTCAAGTCACAGCTTGCAGTATTTATTTTATTAAAACAGATATCAAGTATTTTTTCTATTTAAGTTATCCCATTGCAGGTTGGTGGGTAGTACCTAACCCAGCTGCTAAATGTGTCTTTTCAATCATGGAAGAGTGCAAGATAAGAAAGGTAGGGCATGGGAGATTTTCCTCTCAAATTGGAATGCTCAACTGGGGTAGCAACCTCCACCTTCTAGAAGATCACAGTAACATAACACTACCTTTTGATGGTGCTGTGTTTGGTAAAACTTTACTTCCAGGGCCCAAGAGGCGACACTTGATTTTTTTTGTAGAAAAGGTCACTTTAAACAAAAAAAAGCATATAGTCACAACACTAACCTAACCTAGTGTGAAGTATCACCACTTCTGCCCTGGAAGTACAGTTTACCCTGTGTTGGTGGGTAAAATTCCAGGGCTCAACGGAGTAGGGGATCGGGTCAAAGTAAGCAGTGGTGTGAGTGATATTTTTGGTATTGCAAGCATTGATAGAGTATGGTGGCTGCTTACCATAGGCTGTATAACGGTTTAGCACCTTTTTCAAAAAAAAAATGTTTTCAATCATAAAATAACTTAAGCTTACCTAGCTCACTATTTGTAAGTACATCATACTGTTTCTCACTAATTTCTTCACAAGTTATGAAGACATGATCAAATGGTATTAGATATTCTTTACCATTCTTGTTATAAAATAAAGCACCATTGAATTCAATTTTATTAGATAATACATGTTTTAGTTCTTCTGTGTTTATAACAGCTGTAACAGCTATTTCACTATCATTTTTAATAATTCTTGTGTTCCTTTCCTTCCAAAATGGTGGTGCTTTTATCTTTTCAAATAATTTTGTGGTATAAATTATTGACAATTTGTCTGTACCATGAAGTAATATTTGAATGTCTTCAAGGGGTCTGGAAATTTAAAAAAGATAATAAATGAATTTCTCAAACAAACCTTCCTTAGACAGGTTAAGGAAATTTCTTAGTAGGAATTTATAATTCCTGTAAGGAAATAAATATTTTAAATCTAAGGCCCGTATTACAGAATGACAACTAAGTGTTGATCTTTACTTGAGTACAGTTAGAAAGGGATGTCGCTATGTGGTATATATAGCAATGTCCCTTTCTTACTATGCTCAAGACTAGATTAATTACTGAGAATCTTTCTATAATACGAGCCAAAGTCTTATGAAACTTCAAATTAAAGGCTTCATTTAAATTTTGTATTAACCCATTTGAAAATGACATTTCAATCCTTACATATCTAAATACCAATTAGAATAATACTTACTCATCGGAAGTATAAGATAGAGTTAATACAATGATTATCCTTTTGTTGCAGAATTTTACCCAGGGTGTCTGTGTTCTAATATCCAGGGGAATATTTTTTATCACCTGTAAAATATAAATAATTTAAATCCATTTTCTTACTCACAAAACATAGTAAAAAAATAATGATAATCCATTTTCTTGCAAAAACTACTCTGCTTTTACCTCTTTAGAATTAGCTTGAAATACGGAATCATCAGTATTAGGACAAACTTGTTGGTAGAATGAAAGAGCTGACATCTGACGTAAACTTAATAACTCATTTAGAGTTTTTTCATTGCACTTTACGCTATACTTAGTTTCCGTTAATTTCCTCATGAGTTCAGTTAAAATTGGTAAAGAGTCATCAGCGTGTATCCCACTTAGCACCATCGCTCTATCTCCTAAGTGATCAAAGTTATCATCGAAAACCATAGGCACAGCATCATCCTTGCGTATTATTTTGAGACAAGCTTGTCCTCTACAAGATATATCTTCGATGGTGTATCTATCAACATTTACAACTCGCCGATGCAAGCAAAGCTCATGTTTTCTCGATATTATCAAAACTTCGTCACCAATCACCACTAAATAGAAGAGTTCACAGTTGCCATTTCTCAGAATTTTGATTTCGGACGGCGCCTTTGAAGAACTTAGCTTCAGAGAACATACCACCTCTCGTTTGTAATATTCTATTATTTCACCTCCGTAGTTGCAAACGGTAACATCGATGTTTTTCTCATCTCGAGGGTGGTTGTCGTAAAACACGAAACATGTTATTGCATCTAAGGTCGATGCTGGTACTGATTTGACAAATTCTTGCTTCACATTGTCCGGTAATTGTAAATTCATTGTTAGGTCTTAAGACTTTTAATAATTTAATAAAATCAAAATAAATGCATAAAGCATAAGCCACTGAGCAAGTAATCTATAGCCGGCAAATAGAAACAAAATGATGTGACAGTGACAGTTGTGTTTAACAGTTGAGTTTGACATGTGACCAGTGCTGCCAGCAGTTAAACCAACTCTCCACCAGTTTTAACTTCTATAGCCACCAGAAAACAACCAAAACCCTACTCTCCTCATCGCAAATTTTGCACTTCACAAATTTTAAGCTTTTACAGAAGACGAAGAAGAGAAGCCCATAATTATAGTAATTTAGATACAGTGCCAGTTAATAACATAAATTACTATAGCGTATATACAGGGCGTCCCACGGCTACCTCACACGGAGGGAAAGTATATTAAATATTGAAGTTAGAATATTTTACTGAAAGGAGACATAATTTTATTTTTAATAATAACTAGAACTGCATTCACAGATTTATAAAAATCGCCTGCTACAACTGGGAATCAAACTCGTGAAATTTAAAAAAAAAATACAACATATTTTATGATAACCATCGCAAGGGTTAATCATAAAGATTAATTTTTGCTCAATAACATAGCATTTTAAACGAAAGAAAAGTAATTTAATTTATCATTTTATTTAAAATTATTGAATACAAACTAATATAAAATCGGATACGTATTAAAGTAAGTTGAAATGTTGAGTTAATCATCATTGACGTTTATCATCCGCTGCTGTGGTTCTGTAAACGCATATCAAAACCTCATACATTTCTTAAAGTATCCACTAATCTTTTAAACACATATCGAGAAGGTACGTACCTCTATCAGGGTATCATTCGCGGTACCACCGCAAAGCTAATATGTCATTGTGATACATTAAGTAAGCTTCCATTAAATCAATTTTATTATGATAGCCCATGGTAAGTAAATTAACAAAAAAAGGAAAAAACGAAAATGAAACTTACAAAAAACAAAAGAACAGACGCTTGAAAATTTATGTGTTCAATTTTTAAAATTATTATTTTTACAAATTTCAGCCAATCGCATTGTAACTGTGAGTTCAAAAAATGCATACGTACTACAGTTTGTGTATCACTTTATTATTTTTATCACGTAATGTTATTGTTATGTAGTTATTGTTATGTTATGTTATTTAGCAAAAAATAATCCTTATATTAACCCTTTCGATGGTTATCATAAAATATGTTGCGTTTATTTTTTCCAAATTTCACGAGTTTGATTCCCAGTTGTAGCAGGCGATTTTAAAAAAATCTGTGAATGCAGTTATAGTTACTATTAAAATTAAAACGATGTCGCCTTTCAGTAAAATATCCTATCTTCAATATTTAATATACTTTCCCTCCGTGTGAGGTAGCCCTGGGACGCCCCGTATAGTGACCATGGAAGTTTAAAAAACAATATATTGACATTAATCCTATATAACATTCTCGTGTCACAATGTTAGTTACCATACACCTCCGAAACGGCTTGACCGATTTTATAAAATTTTATATCGACACCTGTAATATGAATTAATGTAACCGCCAAAATTACGAAATTGAGTTATTTATACAGTTCGTCTGCAAATTTGATAGCGATGGCTGGAATTGAAATTTCGTAATCTGGAATAAATGACGATTATGTTTACCAAAACCCTATACCATAATTTTCATATCACCATCTTTTTTTTTAACGTATGGCACATTTTCATAAATAAGTTATTATCAGGTTAACGTAACAACGAAAGTTAAAAAATAAGACATTAGTGCAAGACTCATCTGTATCAGAATGACCTTTAAGTAAACTTTTTTTGTGGCATATCGTATTTGATTGATTGTTACGATAATTTAAAGCCTAGCGTCTGTCTATCTACATAGTACCTAGTTGCATAAAAAACTAAATAATGTTTTTAAAGATTAGGGTGAAGGAATATCCATAGGAGGCAGAAAAGTGTCTAACTTAAGATACGCCGACGATACTACCCTCCTAGCGTCAACCAGAGAGGATATCGAGTTGCTTCTTCATCGGCTAGAGACGACAGCGTTAGAATTTGGACTTGCAATCAATAGTAGCGGGTTGCGAGGTTGTCAACAGCTACATATATCTGGGTTCCACTATTACCAACGATGGGGGCTGTGAGGATGAAACTCAAAGACGTTGCGCCATGGCTAGATCATCAGTGGAAAAACTCACAAAGATTTGGAGAGACCGTAGGTTAACCAAAAAAACAATGGTTCGGCTAATGAGATCCTTGGTTTTTCCAATCTTTCTATATGGAGCTGAGACGTGGACACTCAAAAGGTAAGACCGTCGCTAGATTGACGCTCTGAAAATGTGGTGTTGGAGACGTTTGCTACGCATTCCGTGGACCGTGCACCGTGCGTCAATCCTGAGGGAACTCAACATCAAAGATAGATTATCGACGACTGTGCAAATAGGAAACCTCAAATTCTTCGGTCATATTACACGCAATGAGAACTCGGTGGAACGGTTGGTGGTGCAAGGGAAAGTTGAGGGCAAAAGGTCTCGCGGGCGCTCTCCAATAAGGTGGACAGACCTTATTAAATTGGCGACGCACTTTAGCGTAAATGGTTGTTTTCGCTCTGCAAAACAAGGAACTGCATGGCGACGCATCGCGATTGCATCAGTGGTACAGGAATCGATCGAGACATGACCACGACCACTCTGTCAAGAGTGCACGCCTAGGAAGAAGAAAGCTACTTGCTATTTGATAGACGTTTGTAGGTCAAACGGTGAGCGTAAACGGAGCATGAGTGAATGCCAAGATGCCAGAGAATGTTTACCACTACTTGAAAAACTTCGGAAACACAACTACGACAGGTGAATAGGAGGAAAAGTGCAACCTGCCTGATGCAGCAATACCGCTACCATAACGTGATGATATCCCAGCAGGATCTCTCGGCTCCATTACCCGTAACAATTGTAATGTATATGAATGCTATACATCGCCACTTGTAACAATGCATCGAGTGCTAGGTAAATAGTAAAACAGCTGCAGAAGCAGCCAAAGTTCCCCCGCTCCCATCAGAGCTTCTTCCAGCTGGCGGCGTACCTACTAGAAATTTGTTAGCACATGAACCACCTGTAGCTGGTCAAGGAGTCAACCAGCGCAGCAGGGACCGGAAAACTAGTGACGGTGCAGTCAGAGTCAGTGAGCGATTGTGCCGCAAGAAATCACCCTTTGTACTTGCGAGAACAAATAATGTATTTTTTTATAAATAGGTTCGACAAATGACTCCACCCCGCATGATGTTAAGTGAAGGTGAAGTCCAGACGTGAAGATAGCTGGTACAGGTTCTACCTGCCTCTCCAGCCATCCTCACCTTGCTGGCCTACATGTTGCTTCATCAAGCTTCTTTTATAGGATCCCAGGTTATATTAAGGAGGGAACACGTGAGCAGGCAAAGCATTCCATTTACGGACAGTGCGACAAAGAAATGAGTCAACAAATTTATTTGTACTCGTTGAAATTGCCACAGTTAGATGGTGACAATGTTGGCCAGCGTGGTTGGTCCTTTGAAGAAAACGAGAAGATGGAATAAGAGAGAATAATTCCTGAGTACACTTTAACAGTGATGCCACGTCACAGCGTAATTGAAAAGGGCTCGAGGTGTTTAGTCACCTCCTCATCGCCTATGATGCGGATCGCGCGCTGCTGTGACCTATCCAAAGCATCGAGCAAATACTTGGCGGGGCCATCTGCAGTGTTGTACCCTGCAGAGAAGGATATGAAAGGAATGGCGACGTTTTTGCCGTGAAACCGCAGACCCGAGTTTTCGTAGCATTGAACTCAACCAAGTTCTGCACGTCCCACCGGGGACAGTAGTTATTTATAACGAGCCCGTGATAACTAGTATTCAAAGTGATAACTCGTATCGCGAGCTATTAGAGCAGGTTTCTGAGATAACTGACGCCGTTTGGATTATTTGAGTTCCCCAGAATGAACTTTGGAATACGTAATGCGGCTCAGACGTTCCAAAGGTTCATGAATAATAGTGTGTTGCAAGGAATCGACGTCGCCTTGTGCATTGTTTTAGTAACTTTATAATAAGATAATATTATGTGGGTCAACTTTATTATTTATGTTCTGTATTTCTGTTGTGTTAATGTTGTGTTAACACATTTTTTTGTTAAAGTATTAATTATGTGTAGTAAATAAGATTTTTATTTTTTTAAGACGTTGTAAAAAAAAATTTGACATACATAATAGATTTATTTCAAAAAAGGAGGGTGTGATGTAGTGGCATACATTGTTACGAATTGTTGACACAGCAAACCGAACCCGTGCGAGTCGCTAGCTTAGCTTACCAGTCGTCTACGGAAAGCCTGCCTCGTTAGGTCACGATAGAAATAACGTGTACATTTTATTATATCAAAAATTGTTTCCAGACATTATACCTAGTGAATCTCATAAACCTTCTTTGATTTATTCTTCTGAACTATACTTAGGGATCCATTAAATTCTAGTATAATTTATTATACCTATTCAACAATTATTTCAGTAAACTACACACATCAAAAGTGTCTAGGGATCAAGCATTTTTTTGCAATAAATTTATGATTTTATAAATTTATATGGATCCTTTTTGGTGCATTTCATAATTTGAATCAGGAACTGTGAATCAAATTCGAGTAAAAGATGAAAATCAGCTGTCAGTATTTTCCCTATAAAAACATACAACGCATTGAAGACATTATTAGTGCTACTGTTTCCCTACTACTGATTAAAACCAACGTTATTATGGAGCGGCGACGTCATTTAAGCAGGGAAGAAATGCTCAGAGCCGTGGGAATGATAGAAGCTGGTTCCCGGCAACGTACTGTGGCTTTAGCTCTGAATACAAGTCAGAGTGTTATCAGTCGACTTTGGACACGATACCGAAGCACTGGTACCGTGGCTGAGCGCCATGGAGGACGGTATCGCTGCACCACACGGAGACAAGACCGATACATTCAAATCTTAACTCGAAGAGCTCCAACAATAACCGCCATGATGTTAGCCGTGAGGCTTCATCACTCTTCAGGGAACTTAATTAGCGACCAAACAGTCAGAAACCGCTTGCATGAAG